TAGGGAAAATTCAATAGGTGTTGATGGTTGTATTAAGAGCATTTGTTCTTGATTATAGTACAAAAATCTCATAGTATGTGTAGGGGCTCGATGTAACCTAAGGTTGGGTAAACCAGGATAAATCATAGTGTGAAATCTCTCTTACCTTACTCTTAAGGGACATTTGATAAGGGAGAAGTTTTTTCATACCCAAGAATCATGATTCCAGGGAATTAAAAATCCTGAAAATTATAAATCTTGAGAATCACAAATCCTAAGAATCATGATTCCTAGGAATAACTAAAATATGTTTGCTTACTCATAAAATGTTCTTGAAAATATTCATATAAGTTTCTTGAAAAAAATATTTTCATGTTTGGTTACACTATTATACTCTTGGAAACATAAGTATTTTTTACAAAAATATCCTTCATTAAAATAAACTTATTAGATATATTTATTTATTCAAATATTATTACAAATATGATATTAAACTAATTTTAAAAAGTTGAAGACTTATAGTTATAATTATATAAATACAAAATTCAACAAAAAAAAAATGCTACATAATAATTAAGAAGGGTATATATATATATATATATATATTTCATTTCATTCAAATAAATTAAAAAAATTTAATAAATATCATTAAACTATAGAAACAAAACAAACTTTAATAATATTATTAAAATTGGCAATGTCAAGAAATAATGAAATACAAAAACGAGAGAGAAATAAATGTATGAAAAGGGGAGGGGGACAAAGAGAGAAAGAAAGAGGGAGTGAGAGTGTGAAGAAGAGATAGAGAGAGAAAGAGAAATAGAATAAGAGAAAAAGAAATTTTATGTTTTAAAACTTATATTGTAATATTTTTATATGCATTAAATTTTTTCCCTAACCCGGAAAAGTTAGATTCTCACTCACTCTTATAAAAATATTTTTTTTTTTTGTAAAAAAATAAGATAAAATTAGTTTTTGATAAATTATATTCCTAGAAATCTTTTTTTTTTTCTTTTAAATAACTACCAAATATTTTAAAATTCTCATAAATATAAAAATATTTCACATACCAAAAGTTCTTTTATGTTTGTTTAAATTACTTTAAATTGTTCATATTTATTTCTAAACAAGTAAAAAATATTTTCAAATACCTCTTAAGCATAAACTTCTAAGAAGGCATTTTATTAAAAAAGCTAAGAACGAAATCAACTTTATAAAATCCTTCAAAAGTTGATGCTTTACATCAATTTGATAAAAAAAAATATATCAAATTTTAAGATAACCACGATCAAATCCCATTTCTTGTCAACTAACCTTTACTTCAATAATGACTAATAAATTTGAACCATGCACGTGTACAACTATCCAATAACTACTAAAAATTGTTATAACTACTTTAAATCTTTTTTTATATAATCGGAAAAAAATTCTTTTGTAAACTTGTTACTTCAAGCCTCTTGAATCTCCTTACTTCACTTTCTTCGATCAACAAAACTACGACTGTTTTTGTTCGATTAAGTCAAAAAATCTTAGATAACAAAGACTAAAGCCAAACTTGAAAAATTTTAATAGACAAAAACAAATTTTCTCTGACATTTTAAATATTTAAGAAATTAAAACAGTAATGTGGGGAAGCATCTACTCATTATTGTTTTAGTAGATAATAATCTCTCGTAGCATTGAGGACGCATAACCTGTGTTGATATTAGTCCAAAAGCAGCAAGGCAGGAAATGAAAAAGGAAGAAAAAAAAAAACATGTTGAGGCTGTAAATGAGGCCTCAATCAGATGTTACTGTTCCTCTTAACTCAACAACAATGACACTGATGTTATCTCTGCTTCCCTTTGCCAATGCTATCTCAGCCAAGAGGCCTGCAGCCTCGGCAGAACGACTCTGATGATTCTCAACTCCATTGCACACTCTCCTAATCTGCCCGTTGAGGCATTTCCTCACAACTTGGCACGCAACTTCACTGGACATCACATCCCACAACCCATCACTTGCTAGTATGAGAAACTCATCCTTGCTGCTACGTTTGGTCATTGTCACTTCTGGTTTTGATATTACATAAGGTCTAAGGTACTGATCGCCTGCATCGGTCAAATTACGGTCAGAACAACTAGACATTGGAGAAGTAATTTCATCAAACAAAACACAGTATGGAATGCATTTGAAATGGGATAATGCATATGTAATACATTTGAAACAATATGCAAAGCCAGTCAAGACCTGTTAAATATGATGATTTATATTTGTCCTTTAGATTTGTTTCAGAAATCACACGCTAGAGTCAAATTCACCGTTTATTAAGGATGCACAAATCATTTATCAAGATTCCTTTTTCTTTGAGTTAAACCATATTCATACCATATAAGTCTATCTGTTTATGATCGAAGAGTTCCACGCATTTGACCACACACCAGAAGCAATTGTTAGCATGTGATAGATGGGGACAATTGTCCAAGGTATCCAAGACATTATTATATTTCTGTCGTGCTATATCTTCAAGTTTAAGATCACACTTTATAAAATCTCTTAAATTTAAAACCAATTATGATATATGAATAAAATCAATTAAGGGCAAACTTGTTTTACATAGAAGAATCATCGTTAATCACATTCTATTAAATTACTTTTTAATTGGCGGATCTAAGCAATAGTGTGTCAACTTGATTGGTTAAAGATTTAAAAAGCAATAATTGTAGATAACAAATTTAAAGTTAGAGGATGTCGATAATAATGATCATCATTTTCTATTTTTGTCCAGGTTGCTCTACAATACTTAAAAACCCAAAGGATCCAGATTCTTCAGCTTTCTGCAGTGCTGAGCAGATAAAAAACGGATATTAAAAGAGTACAATTACTATTAATATTCGTAGTAACCAACATTATAATGAAAGTGTAGATTTGAAAGCTCAAACTAACCTATGGATCGCGAGGTGGCAAGAACACCAAGCACGCGCTGGCCATTCCAGTTAATGACCCTTCCACCAGCCTCTTCGATTCGCATCAACTCATCGGGTCTGTCGGGCTGTGCACACAGAAGGGAACCACAATGCCATGAAAAAATTGCTTAGCCATGAAAAAATGAGATGTAAATTAATTAATAATATAAAAGCTTTTATATCCCATTACAAAGAAGATCTCAAATCTCTAAATAATAATAGAATTAATTGGCTCTACGATCCGACAAAAAAACATATTTCTCTTTCGCACGCAACACAACACATACACAACACAAATTCACTTGCCAGCAACAATTTTGGCTAAATAAACTTTTGCATCACCAAATTGAAAATTATTGACTTACATCATCATATATGTATGGGTAATCTTAAGAAAATGCCAAAATTTTCAGTCAAAATGCTGCTGTGCGAGGCTACCAGCTTTTATGACACGAGGTCTAATAAAAGTATAACAATAGTACAAGAAATCAAAACTTGAAAAAAATGGCAGCAAATTTTACGAAACAAAATAAAAAATGCTTATATATAAAGTTTACATTCCGAGCAAAAAGATTAGTGTAAATATAAAAAATTTAATAAATTTGCAATAAAGATAATCACAGCTCTTTAATCTATTAAATTTTGATTATTGTAATCATCAACTCACCGTTGATGTTTTGTGAAACTGTACACATTTTTTCTATTTTAGATCATAGTGTACTATTTTAAAAAAAATTTAAAGGAATTAATAGCATCAATGTAATATTTTTCTTCAAACAATTAAGAGTTAAGAAAGTTAGTGTAAATATAAAAAGAAAAAGAAAAAAAGAAGAAAAAAAAAAGAAGGAGATGTATATACAAAGTACAGGCCTCTCAAGGGGTTAGTTATTTTCTACAATAAACTATTTATGCACAGAAACTAATAGTAAGAATTCTAAAAACGAGCTGTCTAGGGACCGAAAATCAAAGTAGAAGATTTGAGAAATTAAATAACAAAGAAAATGGAAACAAATATACCTTATGATCAGTAGACAAGTCCACGGCCTCGCCTCCTCTTCCCATCACGGCCCTGCAATCACCGCAATTAGCGACGACAATCTGCGCCTCTGCGACGACGGCGACAAGCGCCGTGGAACCCACCGTCCTAACCGCCGCATTTCCTGCGACCTCGGTGTCCATTTTACGAAAACACCCTTGCATAACTCCGTCCCAGTCCAATTCCATATGACTCCCACTCCTCTCCACCTCCTCCGCCACCAGCCGGTGCAACCGCTCCCGGCACGCCTCCGCCACCTGAGCTCCGCCGTGGCCGTCGTACACCGCGAAGAAGTCGCACTTCCCTCTCTCCTTCGCCACAAACCCTATCTCCACGCTCACCGCGTCCTCCATCTCCTTCCTGCTCCCTATCAACGACACCGACCCGTGCGACAGAGCGCCGTCCTTTTGCTTCGACGACGACCGCTCCTCCTCCTCCGATGACGACGACGCCAGCGACAGCGATATCTCAACATGCTCGTGAATCTCTCTCCTCTCTCCCTCCGAGTCCTCCGCCGCCATCGGAGGAACGCCGTCGGCGTCTTTCCCGACGCGGATCTTTGTCTGACAAGTGTACTTCATTCGCCGGATTTTTAGCCTTCTCCGACGAGAATTCTTGAACCCCGCGATAATCTCGACGGAATCGGGTTCCACTCGTCGGACCGCGTTGGGCGGCGGCGAGTGGCGTTTTGGCGTCTTCATCGTCGTTTTTGCATGCAACGAACTGAACACAACACAGCACAACAGAACTAAACACGAAACTGAATAAGAAAAAAAGAAATAAAAAATAAACGGCAATAAAGAGAAACGGCGTGTAGCGAGGAAGGATGGAATTTAAAGTGTTTGATTGCGAGATCTGAGAGGCGTGGTATGTGGACCGTGGATTTGAAAGGGAGGGTGTGATGAGGTAACAGGTGGATATTTAAGGACCAGTGAGTTGGACTTTAGTGAGGGAGACGTGGACGGTTGAGATCGAAAAGGTGGATACGTGGATAGTTGATGTTGGGGGAAGTGATACGGTTGTGTGAAAGATGAGGTGAGAGTGGGGCCAGTTGGTGAAAGAAGATGATAGAAAGAGAGAGAGAAGGGTCAGAGTCATAGGTTAGTTTACGTGGCATGACAGAGGTTGCTTTCCGTAAATTTTCCTTTTGTTGAGTTTCGCGAGGTTGGAGGACACGCGTTCACTCAAGGTGGGTTGCGTCTCTCATTTCAGCCATAGATACCATTGCCTTCTTTCCAACTACTACACAGTGGCCAGACATATGCACGCACCACGCACCACGCACTCTTTCTCTGTCCATGTTGATATTATTTCGTGTTTCCCTCACCCATGTTGATTGTGAACCTTGTTTTCTTTGTGTTTTCTCTGCGTTCTTCTCTCAACCTAATATCATGCAAATTTGGTGTTTCCACATTTTGTTTTTATGTTATTATTGTTGTTTTTATATTTTTCTTTAAATATTATTCATCGGGTTCTAATTTTATTTTTTTTCATGTGGAATATTTTTCTGGCATGATTGTTTATGTGAGGTGGTTCTTTCCTATTGGTTTATTTTGAAAAATAAATATTGGGTATATTATGTTTGGTGAATTATTTTAGTCGTGGAGCTGTGGCCCGAAGTTTTGGGAAAAATATCTTAGTGCCAGCTGCGCTTTTCTCCTTCCCGCGCCGAGTTTCCATCGAAAAGACATACGTAACTAGCGATTAGTGTCTTCGCTTCTTCCATTTGACACGTGTGACTACTTTTCGTGCAGTGTTGCGAGTTACACTATTTTTTGTTTTCTATTGAAGCAATAATTTTGTTATAATAATAATAATAATTGAATAAAGTAAAAATAATAATAACTATAAAAAGAGGCGTCAATGCCCCGTGATATTTTATTTATTAAAAAAAATACTATATCATATTTCATAGTGATAAAGAAATTATCAAAAGTAAAAATATAATAATATAATTAAGATTAGTTTAATTTGAACTTAACAATATAAGGAAAAATATGTTCACATAAAATAAATAAATATATATATATATATATATGATTATTAAAAGTGCTATCATTTATGTTAATAGTATAATACTATTAATAATGAGAATATTTTTCTTTTTATATTTTATTAAATTATTTTGTTTTTATTGTAAACATATAATTTTAAAATTTAGCTTGAATTGATTAATGGATGTGTTTCGTCTAAAACTAAAGCATGTTATTAGTTTGAGCAAATATTCAAATTAAACATGTTAAAGACTCAATAATAATGTCAATAAACCATAAAAAATTGACATGAATTTGATTTTAAGCATTATAACACAAAAAATGACATAAATTCGATTTTAAGCATTATAAATTTGGTTGAGATCGATGACACTTTAATACATGTGAAAAGTATGTTGGACTTGTTGGTGTGAAAACCTTCTACTCTAAATATGTTTATATAACATAAAAATAAATAATATACAATTTATAAATAATAAAGTTCGTTTTCATGGATAAAAGAACTCACATCAAAGGTTTTTTTTTAGTATGAAACCAAGTATTTCAATAATAACATAAGTTCTTGAAAGGAAAAGTTAAGCATTCAAATAGTTATTAAATTTTCCAAAAAATAATCATAAATAAAATATAAAAATTGAGCTCAACAAGTGATAAGCAAAATTAATAAACTAAGCAAATTAAGTACTATTTTAGGTCTCAATGTGACACTAGCAAAGTACTCCCGTAAAAAATAAAAGCAGAAGTCTAAGTTGCATCACTCGCAAGCTCAAACTCCTTTACTTGGTCAACAACTAAAAATGGTGTTCATCCCAACCAAGGCAACATAACATAACATTGGGGAGTAAGAATACATCTCACATATGCATATAACACACATAAAGAATGTTAGTCAGTATTACAACACAAATCACATCTTAAACACAAGCACACATTGACTCTTAGCTCTTTTTTCTATATGCATGTGATATCATTCTTTTTGCATAAAGTGTTGTCCATGTAGTTGAGAACAAAAACTGATATGAACTCTTGAGGTGTGCAATGCATTGTTTTAAAGGACTTATCCGTAGCCTCCCATGTAAGTCCCTAAGGATACAACAATATCTTCTCAATAATAGACTGAAGATATGAAATTGACAAGTTCTTAAACCTAGAAAATGAGAGAACATATAGAAAGAGAGAAAAGAGCAGTATCTAATTCCTATCGATTTTCAATATTTATAAAGATATTTTCTCTTGTAAAAATGTTTTGTTTGTTAATATTAAAATTTCAAATCTTGAAGAATCAAAGATCGTCTTTTGAATTAACACAAAACATAAAATGCATAAGCAAATAATAAATTAATTCAATTGGGAACCTAGAAAATCAATTTGAGCATTCAAATTTTCTTAGTTCAATTATTTGAGGGTTCTATAAACCAAGAGAATTTGATCATGCACTTTTAACTAAAAGAAATTAGAACAAAAAGCACTCAAATAATATGACAATAAATAGAAGGAAAACTAAAATAGGAAAACTATATCATAGGTGAATAAATTAAACAAGGGAAAAGAATTATCCTAGAGTTGAAGAATCCTTCTCCAAGGGTTTGGCTTTTAGTCTCTTATAGAATCCTTGAAGGTTTGTTCCTAAAGTGGTCAAAAAGATCAAAGACAAAATTAAAAGACTGTTAACGAAAAAGTTTATTCGCACTTCTAGATAAATTGATTGGGTGTTTATTATAGACAATGCATATTATTTTCGATTCATAAATAATATCTGTGTGGAGTGAAGTGAGTTTTACAATTTTGAAAGTTCTTATTTTTAGTTCTCATTTTATATGTTTTCTGAAATATTACTAATTCTAGTTTTTCTTAACAAATATTCATAGATTGATCACCATTGTCGCTAGAAGACATAAACAACATTAGGGAGCAATGAGCCACGCTTTTTATTGACCATTACATTGACTAACTAGGATTTATGTTTTAGTATTGCATTGATAAGCTATAGGACTTATGTTTCATTGAGCAATAGACGACATTTATGTATAACATGTTTTTAAAACTCTTTTGATTATATATATGGTTGACATTTACCATTTCTTCTCATTTGTATGTAATTTGGTTCATTGGGAATTAACATAGAAAATGAAGACATTTTGATCCATTGAAAATATATGAATTGTCTGGTATTTATTAATTTGCATATTTTGTTCCGGGACGCTCTTAAAATAAATCAAATATATATAAAAAATTTATTACTTTTAAAATTAGCTATGGAATAATCGATCTTAAAAGTGTACTTTTAAAATCAGTCAATAACCTATTTTAAAAGTCCAATTTTTAAAGTTGCCTCTTTTAAAATTGGTTAAAGAACCAATTTTAAAAGTTTTTTTCCCGTTAGTGCATAAGACATCTCTTCCTCATTGGAGTCAGATGGACTAGAGTTAGGTTTAGAATTTACCTCTTTATTTGTCTTAGTGTCTACCATTAGACAAATGTTTTCCTTCTCGTCGTCTATGTTGCTACTACTACTATCGAGATCCTCTTATGTGGACATCATGCTTCTCTTGATCTTTTTCTTGTTAGACCACCTCTTCTTGAGATAAAGGGCAGTCAAACTTTACATGATTAGGCTTCTTGCACTCATAACAAATGATGTCTCTATTGTTTAAAGATCCAAACTTATTGGATCTCTTCTTTTTTGAGGGAAGGTCCTCATCCTTCTTTTCTTTTTTGGCATATCCTTAAACTTTTTAGACATAAGAGAAATCTCATTGTCTATAGAGTTGTCAGAACTTTCATCTGAGCTTTCAGGTTCAAACTCAACCTTAAACTCTCATGCTCTTTCTTTTTGCTAGCTTCACCATCTTTCAAAGCAATTATGTCATAGAGCTCCAAGAAATTCATCTAAGGTTAGAGCCTTCAAGTCACGAGCCTTAGAGATGACTATGGCTTTGGGCTCCCAAATCTTGGGTAGGTTGTCCAAGATCTTCAAGTTATTCTAAGCTTTTGAAAACTCAGTTCCTAGAAATTTTAACCCATTGAGAATTATTTAGAAATTTCCAAACATCTCGTCAATGGTCTTGTTATCCCTCATGGAGAACAACTCATAGTGCCTATGAAAAGTAGTTGCTCTCTTGATTTCACGTCTTTAGTGCCTTCATGAGTTACCCTGATGGCATCCCACATTTCCTTGGCGGTGGAGTAACTATAGAACTTGTTGTACTCAATTTGAGACAACGAGCATGCAATAAGGTAGCACGTCTTCATGTTTTTTTGTAGAATGTTGTAGCGTTATTGAGTGTATTGTGTCTCAGGCTTTGTAATAGTAACGTCACCTTGTGTTATTACCTTCCATAGGGGGTATTGAGTTGACTTTATGAACATTTCATTTGGTTCTTTCAGTACGTGTAGTCTTATCCATTAAAGGTTGAAGGCCTTGTAATAAAAACTCTTTCTAGTAGATACTAACCTTCACTACATCCTATATGGATCTTTTTTCTTTAGCACGGTTAGATGCTCAATCCCATCAAAGGCTAAGTTCTGATACTAAACTATGGAGAAAATATGGTCACTAGAAGGGGCGTTGAATAGTGAATATCAAAAACTTGCACTTTTCATGAGAGAGTGAAGTAATATCTACAACAGATAAAGTGTTGGAAGAGTAATCAAAAGTATAGTGAAAAATTATACTAGTTTGTCTCAAACATTGAGACTATGTCTATTTCTCAATACAACCATATTGAGTTCCACTAACTTTCTCAAAGTTACAAGTATTCTTTCCCAAGCCACTTCTGGCTCTACAACAAATGTTCTTTGACTGACCTCTTCTAGTCACTGCCCAAATATTCTTTTACAATCAAGTCTTTCTAGGCCCTGTCCTATAACAACAATTATCAAGGTATTAGAAGGTTGTTACGATTGTCTCTCTAAGATGTAATACAACAACGTTTTGGTACAAAGATTTTTCTACAAGACAAAAGTTATATGGAAGAGATGTGTATGTGTCTATGAATGTTCTTGTGTTTTAATCAAAATGTTTTTTTGTTATCTTGATCTTCAGAACTTCTTATATAATAGCTTTGGAGAAGATGACCATTGCAACTTCTTGAGCCTTGCTCACAAACTTACTTCATCTTACACCATCGTCTTTTCAAAGTGAGAGGAAAAATACTCGATGCATTAATTGCATCAAATAATGCTTCTTATCTTGATTGACCAAGCTACTTATTAGAACAAAGCTACAAACAGAAGTTACAAGAAGCAAGGTCACCGTGAAATAGAGCAACAAAAGCTTTTTCAATGCCTTTTCCATGAAATCTAGGATCTCTCCTTGGTTTTGACTCGTAGCATACTTTTGATCTTCTTTAATAGATTTTGAGTTCCAATATGACTTCTTTCGATCTGTCAAGGTATAAAACATTCATTTGAATTTCAAACATGTTAGTCACAATAATGATAAAAATTGAGTGTTTCAAGACACATTTGTATGTTTCATCTAAGAGCTTTGTCTTACTGAGTTTGAATAAACATTTTTTAAAAACATTTTCTTTTTTGAAAGATGCAGTGTTTGTTATCATTAAAACTTATGAAATTTAAGAATTCAAGATTGCTTTTTTGACTTAATAAGTTGATGTTATACCAAAGTTACAAGTAATCAATTCATGTCAATATTAATGTTACATCACGATTTTATTGATAAAGAAAACTAAAATTGCAATTTTAAAATTTGGAGGATGAAAATTATATAATTAAAAAGAAAGACTAAAATTATGAATTGAAAATTATAAAAGACGAAAAGTACAATTTAACATGATATTAGTTATATTTTTCTTTACTTTTTTCTGCTAATTTATATTCAACTATTACAAAAATATTATTACCGATGTATTGTAGTTTTTAAACTTTTCTTTAACATTAGTTAATTACACGTTCATGCTTATGTCCTGAAAAGTTAAAATTGCCTACTGTATCAATCATCATATTATTATATCAAATATTCATTGGCTATAGAAAAATAATTTCGTAATATTTTGATTAATTAAATAAATATATATATTATTTTAAAGGTTGGATGTGATGCAGTTAAAATGCAAATGGTTACGGCTGCAAAATGTAATATCGTGTCATTAGTCTATTTTTCCTTCTAATAATGTATCCTTTTCTAGTTTATTCAAGTATTGAAAATTGAAAGTGATTTTTGTATGTTCTTTTATCCAGTTAAATCATAAATTTAATTGTTCGAATAAAATTATATATTAATTTTTTTAACTTTATTTGAAAGGATAGAAAGATTTTAATAATATTTTCTTAATTTTGTTTCTGTTGTTTTTGTTTAACTTCAATAAAATGATAATATTTCTTTTTTCAAAATGATAAAAGCATTATGACATTTTCATAACATGCAATGGAAGATGTTTCGTTTATTTATTTATTTATATATTTTTTTTTATAGATTTTGGATGTAAATTAAGTTTTTGAACATATTACTATACATATGTTGTATGAATATTTTTGATAAGCAAGGGGGCTTAACAACCCAGAACGAAAATATTATTGAAATTCACAAGGTAGTGTTACGGCAGAATTGTCTGCAGATAAAAGAGAAAGGGCCCAACTGGGAGGTGCATTAAAACAGTGTACCCCAACAGATAAAGAAAAACTCTTTTTAGCAAAACCATTAGCAATCTGGTTTGCCTTCCTATGGATATGGGCACAATCTAGAGAAGGAAAATCACCTGCCATTCTAATTATATGATTAACTAGCGAATAACAAGGGTGATGCCCTGAACAACCTTTATTCAAAAACTTAATAGCAAGAGCTGAATCGGACTCAATAATAATATGAGCTTGGGAAAAATCCTTTTTGATCAGACGAAGTCCATGATAAACAGCCCATAATTCTGCTTGTAGTACTGGACATTGTCCAATCAATCCGGAAAAGGCCAATAAGAATCTACCATTATTATCTCTTAGTATACCACCACATGCAGCTCTGGATGATCCAGAAACAGCCCCATCTACATTCAATTTAAGCGTGCCATCTGGGGGCTTGATCCATCTTATGTCATCTTGAGAGGAATTAACATGAGTTGCATCCCTACTGCCATTGTCCAAGGATCTAGTCAACTCTGTCACACGACCTTTTATTTCGCAAACCACGTGGTGCGAATTCAAGGGTTGGTCTTCAAACACAAAATAATTCCTAGCCTTCCAAATTGAGTCAATTGCAATTCCAAATTTTTGCCTCCAGTAATTATCCTTCACCTCTAGACAAGAAGTCATCCATTCCTTCAGCGGTAGGTTGAAAAAATCATGAACGATGAACCCTTCAAATATTTGAGACCAAACAGCTCTGGCGAATAAGCAATCCCGAATAGCATGTAAGCAACTTTCTCGAGTTGAGCGGCATAAAGGGAAACCCGCGTCAGACGTTAAGGACCTGGCTAATCTCCAATCATTAGTAGATAAACTCTCATGCGCAATTCTCCAAAAGAGGCACTTAACGCGTTCTGGGCCTTTCCACTTCCAGACCAGAGAGAACAAATGATTTGGGTCCGATCTGGAGCTATCCTGAAGAGAGTTGTAGGCGCTCTTCACTGAAAAACTACCGTCTTGGGTTCCTCCCCACACAAGACATCGACGTCATTTTTTTCTGAAGGTGGTGCAACTGCCAATATTTCTTGAAGGATGGAATCCGGTAGAAGGTGCTGTAACATGTTCAGTTTCCAGTTCCCTCCCTCATCCACATACTCCGCAACTACTTGATCAAGGAAATGTCTCGGCACTAAGGTTATAACAGCTTCTAATAATATTACCCTTGAAGGTAGCCATCGTTCGTTCCAAAATTTAGTTGTTTTCCCGTCTCCCACGTTCCAAGCGATACCTGTTTGAACAAACTTCCAAGCGTCACAGATACCACGCCAGACGTTAGATGCAATAGTTTTTTTGTTTATCATAGGTACCCTATCCTCCCCACAATCATACTTAGCTTTTAACACACGAACCCAGAGCTTGTTCGGTTGAGAGCATAAAGCCCAACAGTTCTTCATCATAAAGCTTGTATTGATTTTCCTTGCCTCCCGAATCCCAAGGCCACCTACAGTCTTCGGTTTGCAAATAGTTTCCCAGGCTATGGCATGCACACGACGATGGGCTCTTGAATCACCCCAAAGGAAAGATCTGCTTGCTTTATCAATCTCATCACAGAGTTGACGAGGGAGAAATACTGTCTGCATGGTATATGAGGGGAGAGCAGCCAAAACAGACTTTGTTAATGTAAGGCGTCCAGCAAAGGAGAGGGTTTTCGCCTTCCAAGAGCTGATACGCCTATTGATACTATTCATGACAGATTGGAAAGAGTTTCTACTTACTCTGGTGTGGTGTAGTTGGACACCTAGGTATTTACCTAGATTGTCAGTTCGTTGGAATCCCAAAGACGAGCTTATCTCTGACTTGACGTTCCAACCAACGTTCTTTGAGAAGAAAACTCGAGTATTCTCCTCACTAACCTTCATACCCGAGCTCAAACAGAAGGAATCAAGGCAAGATTTAATGATCTCAGCTTGGTCTAAAGATGCCTCTGCAAACAGGATTAGGTTGTCAGCAAAGGCAAGATGAGATATCGCTGGACCTTTCTTAGATTGTTTGATTGGTTTCCAAAGCTCTTGACAAACAGCCACTTCAATAAGGTGGAAGAGTCTTTCCATACATAGTACGAAGATGTAGGGAGAAAGCGGGTCACCTTGTCGGATTCCCCTCGTGGGCTTAAACTCAGGTAGTGTCTCCCCGTTCCATAAAACCTGCATAGAAGACGATGAAATGCAATGCCAAATCAATTCAACAAGATTTAACGGGATACCAATCATAGTTAAGGTTTCCTTTATGAACGTCCAGTTTAGCCTATCATAGGCTTTTTCTAGGTCTATCTTAATGGCCATCCAACCCTTTTTCCCAGTCTTGTAGCTCATAGAGTGGATAACCTCTTGAGTGATGATTATATTATCTGATGTGTGTCTGTTGGGTACAAAATTGCATTGGTTTGGACCAACTAGATCTACCATGATATTTCTGAGACGGAACGCAATGGCCTTTGTTAATAGCTTATATGACACGTTACAGAGACTAATAGGTCTCATCTGTTTGAGTGATGAAACATTCTCCACCTTAGGAATCAAAGTGATGAACGTTTTATTCATCTCAGCAACTTTCCTTGGATTCTTGAAAATATCTTGTAACAGCTTACACATAGTCGTTCCAACAGTGCTCCATTGGGTTTGAAAAAAGAGCGCTTGAAAACCATCTGGACCTGGAGCCTTTAAACCGCCCATTCTCTTTAGAGCTTCGACGATTTCTAGTTGTGTTATAGGTGTACTAAGCATGCTACGATCCTTAGGAGATAGCTCAGGGAAAGAATTTGATAAACAATAGGGTTCGTACCCTCCTGGGTCTTCAAAGAGTTGCTTATAAAACTCTGTAACCATTGACTCCAATGCAGACTTCTCCAATACCCATTCTCCTAGATCATTTTGAAGCTTGAGCACTCTATTTTTACGTCTTCTAATGATGGTAGTTCCGTGGAAGTATCTAGTGTTGCGATCACCATGTTCCAACCACTTGCAGCGAGATTTTTGGAACCATAACAATTCTTCTCTAACTAAAATTTACTCGTACTAACACCAAAGCTCTTGAGAAAGTTTCTCAAGAAAGGGATTATAACCTTGAGAGAGCTTTGAGGCAATCCCATTTAATCTTCTAGATAAACGTCTCTTGGTGTAAAATATGTTGCCAAATGTAGATTTATTCCAACAGAAGAGGCAGCGTTGTACTTGAGACAGCCTTTTTGACCAATCAGAATCATCATGCCAACTATATTTAACCACATCATGAAAGCCAGGGTGAGTTAACCAAGCATGCTTCAAAACGAAATGGTCTAGATGATTGACTTGATCTATTTTCATGACCAAATTTCAACAGTAACGGGCAATGATCGGACTTTAATGGGTGTAAGTGGAAGACATCCACATTAGGGTATTCCACTAGCCACTCCACATTAGTCAAAACACGATCCAAACGTTCCAAAACAGTGCCTCTCTTCCATGTAAACGGCCCTCCTTGGAAGCCTAGATCAAGAAGGTTACACTCTCTTACAACATTTTGAAAGGCTAAATCACCCCTGGTAGACGCTCTAACAGAGCCACCTTGTCTTTCTTCAGGTTTTAACATTGCATTAAAATCACCTAAAAGACACCAAGCTCCCACGGTCTCATTAGCGAGGGTTCGAATATCCCTCCAAAGCTCCACCCGAAATTGAGAATGAGGACTCCCATACACCACTGTCAACAACCATGCAAGGCCATCTCTATTAACTTTGAGATGAAAAAATTGGTTGGTATGCTTGCGAACATCAAGTTTCCATATGGCAGAGTCCCAGAAGATCCATATGCCCCCTGCATGTCCACGTGCTTCAACTAGAAAAGACTTATCCAGTTTGATACGTTTGGTCACTTTTTGTGCAGCAACACCACTGATATGTGTTTCCAATAAACACAAAATCCCCACGTTGTTTTCTTGAATAAAATCATTGATGAGAGGAACAAAACTTTTGGATCCTGCCCCTCTGCATTTCCAACTAGCAATATTCATAACATCATATTTGGGGAGTGGGATTAAAGCTCCCAGTGTCATGGTGGATAACCACATCAACCCCTCCAGAAGGCTTCGCAAGTTGACCGCGACTTTCTTCAATTTGACAACGTAGCGAATTTGCCAGTGCCAACGTTTCAGTATCAGGGAAGGAGGTATGCGTGATGATACCCAAGTCTTGATTTTTAGTGTCTTTCCATAGCGGTTCTATGTTTTTTATGTTCGCCAGTACCTTAGCAGAGTTAATTTCCTCACGTTTTGCATGTCCTTCTTTTGTCCATGCAGTCGCAGAAGAACCATTACTGTTTGTAGATTGGGTCCCACCCTGGGTTCGTATGTTATTTTTCGCATTATCCGGATTCACATGAGGGTTTACACCTTTTTTCCGTTGTCCTTGTGGGTTTTTGCCACCTGTTTGGTTACGTACTATCATTACATTCTTATCTGGAGTTTTTGTAGCAACCCCATGATTGATGTGAGTTGATGGGGCTTCCAGAGCATCAATATCATCACACGTACTCTTAGCATTAGGACCCACATGATCCTTCCTTCTTGAGATTGAATCCAATCTGGTATTTGTGTTTGTTGTTGCCACTTGAGAAGGATTCCTTGAGTTAAAGGATTTTTTCTTTCTCTTCACAATCATCCAAGGGCCATATTGATCCTTAGACTCAGGTTCATTTTGATTGGGAATAATCTCCTCCACATGTTTAGGAATCTCGTTATGGCTGCGGACTTGATCAGCTATTTTTGTTGTAGCATTATCAACGTCCATTAGCGTCTGATTCTTGCTCTCTTCCTTGTCGTCACCATTTTGAAATTGTGGGCATGAAGATTGTTTGTGGCCGTACTTCCCACACTTGAAGCAGATGGAATGCAGACCTTCATATTCTAACTTGAGATTAATATGGCCTAAAACATCTATCTGCGGGACTAGTTTTTTCTTTAGATCAATCTCCACACAGATTCTTGCAAATCTTCCACGGGACTGAATAGATGTTAGCTTATCAATTTTTAACATCGTTCCTAGTTTACTCCCCACTCGCCAAAGAAATCTATCGTTGAAAAGTTCAATTGGCAACCCTGGGATACGGATCCGAGCAGCAATCTTGCGCGTCTGTTTGGCAGTCACTGTAAAGAAGGGTCTCCACCTTTGAACGACTATGTAGTGGTCAGCAATAAGCCAAGGCCCTTCAAATAATGCATGCTTGTAATCCTCTTCAGAAGCAAATTGGACCAGGTAATAATCCTGTGATAGGTCTATCAATCTCACTGATCCCGTTTTAGCCCATTCTCGCTGGATTTTGTTGTCCAACATTCGGAATGCCACACGCTTATCTAGTACGTGAATGACAAGAGAGCTTTTCCACGGAGCACACCACTCCTCAAATTCTTCTTGTGTAACATGGATCTTGGGGCAAGGATCCAGATCAGAATCATCATCAACAATATCATCTTGATCATTATAATAGCCGTCTTCCGGGCATTCCATCTCTCTGATCAGGCTAGAAAAGTCGTTAAAAATTTTCCCTCCGCTTTCCGAGAGAAGACTCTCCATATAGGATTTAGAAGGATCTGAGGCAGATCCTGATGCGGAAACCTTCTCTTCCATACTCACGTCTTTTCCACCAAAACCCTCTGAACCATCAGCCTTCGTTTTCACCTTCTTCGTACTCCTGATAGCAGGATCGTCGCCGGTAGAGCCTTCATGCTCAAAAACCCTAGCAGACCCAGCCTTCATCGCGCCGTGCAATGGAAAGTTTTGTATGAATATTGATACACATACTTTTTTAGATAATTTTTATTTTTATAGTTGTCTGCCAAATTTTAAATTTTGTAATTTTGGCCTCCCATGACATGAAGTCTGGCTCCGTCCTTGTTACACTAACTTGATTTATTTTTAAAACTAATTTCCAACTATGCTTTCTTTAATTGGTATATATAATTCTTGGTTCTACACTATCGAGAATCAAACATCTGCTGCAATTTATTCTTTAATTTTGGAATAGGAAGTTGCTTCTAAGTTCAAATATATTACATTTTAAAACTTATTCAATGGTCTGAATGAATATGACGGGTTATCATTTAAATGCTTGATAAGTGACAAAAAGTCGCAATGGCTAATTCCATCTGGAAAGGGTAAATTTATGTAGTGTCTGGACTAACTTCATTGCGTATAGATCTTTTTAATGCTTTGCTAGCTTTTTTAATGCTTCACACCAGTTGACCCTTTTACTCCGTCTCCATACTGAAAGAAATATCTTGTTTCTCTTCCCATTAATCCTGAACAAGTGGAAAGAAGTACTAGCATTTATTTTGTTTGCTGTAACAAAAGTCAGCAATTATATTAATGTCCCCCAGCTACTTTCCAGAAAAGCAACGTGAATAATAAAGTTCTCCAAAGATACGAAGTTGAAAAAATAAAAGGAAAAATCTGTTTGTTGACCCAATTAATGGCCTCCTAGCAAATAAGCTAAGAATTTAATGAGATTTTAAACATTAATTTTAAAATTGAAATAGAAACCATAAAAATTAATTCAGATACGTTCATCGAAGTAAGTTCATGTAATATATCTACCTTTTGATTTTAGTTGCTAAGAAAATCTTGCTTAATAGTGACGTACTAATTACTTATTTAATAAAATAATAATAAAATAAATAATTTTAAAAAATTAATTAATTTTCAGTATAAAAAATTTTAGACTCACGATGATTAACTCCTTTTTTTTAAGAAAAAAGATATTTAGGCTATAAAAAGAATATACAGCTGTGTGGCAGCTGACAACAATTGAATATCTTTCCTTGATCCACATAAATATGAATTGTCTTTGCCTCACCCAAGAATGCAAACACCTATTCTTTCATCGGAATGAAAAAGATGAAAAGAGCAATAACTATCAGCCATCTTCTCTTTCTACAAACTTGTGCTGCTGCCTCGCTTATCCACGACTGTCCCGTTTCCTCATGCGGCAGCGGCACCATTCGCAACATAACTCACCCCTTTCGACTCAGAGGTGACTCGCCTCACTGCGGCGACAACAGGTACCAATTAGATTGCGAGAACAACACAACGATTTTGACTCTGTTTTCAGGTAAATACCACGTGCTAGAAATAGATTACAAGAGGTACACAATCCGAGTGAGTGACGCGGGCGTTGCGGAGGACGCTAAGTGTTCCTTCATGCCCCGCTATTTCTTACACTACAGCAATTTCAGTGCCACTTATCTTGGGCCTGGGCTGGACCCGCTACAATTGGGCCAGGGCCAAGGCCAAGCGTCAATAGCGTTTTTCAACTGTTCCGGCCCAATCACCGATGATTCCAGATACGTCGCCGTAGAAAGCGCCGGTTGTGGCTCTGGAGGACACGTGTATGCTGTTGTTAAAGACTCGATAAATGATTTTGGATTTGGTGTGAAGGACGTGAAGGTTGGGTGCCAACTAAAGGTGGCTACTTATGCGAATTGGGGAACACAAAAAGTGTCTAACGAGAAAGTTTCTTATGGTGATATCCACGACGCGCTTTGGCGTGGGTTTGGGCTCTCTTGGTTATACGTTGTTTGTGAAGAACGATGCGGAAAGGGGAAGGGTTGCCGTGTCGTCGATGAATCCAGCGGTGAAGTCCAATGTGACCAGCAAGACTGTAGTTGGGTCTACGATGGGAACAAAGCCACGTACGACTGTGGTAAGGGAGGCAATTCACATTGTTGTCTCAACAATAAATATTAGTAATACTAATTTTCTATAAGGATTCATAGAATTTTCCATTCTTAAATCACTAACCTATAATTGATAAATATATGTAGGAAAACTAATACAGTAAATATTTAACCGTTGACTTATGTTTTGTAGTTTAAAATTTTATGTTTGACACATGTTATATGTTTTTATTAAGTGTTTTTATATGGTTAAAAAATGTTAATATGTGGTTGTTATGAGTAGAATTAAACTGAAATCTTTTAAGAAAATTTCAAATTTAAGTCTTATTTGTTAATAGAAAAGATGTAGTTAAGAAAAAAAGACTCAATTAAAAGTAATAAAGTTTTTTAACGAAAATTGTCTATAGGGAAAATCTTTCATATTTAACACTAATAACATGTTAATAAAGAAATAATATTTTTAAACAATTAATTAATATTTTAATTGAGAATTTTGAATGGCACGAAATATAATATTGAATTATAAAATAAAATATTTTGCTTTTTGTTCAGATTCTTTTTTTATTTATTCAGATAACCTATCATTTTGCATATATTTATGTAAGATGGTATGAATTTTCTTTTTTCGAAATTCTTTTAGTTCCCTAAATTTCATTTTAACCTTTTCTTTTAGATGGCAAGGGAATAATCTACATATTTGCCCCTATTGGTAAGGATTCTATACTTATTTATTTACATCACTTCCTCGATTCCTTAATTGTAGTAGTATTATTGTTTAACATGTTGACGCCACAATATATTTCTTGCAGCTTTATATGGTATTGGCGTTTATAAAGGTAATTTTTTATTCCCTCTAATCTATATGGCATTGTTCAACATGTATCTTCTAATGTATCTTTCATTTATTATATTTACTCTATTCTCTTTCATTCATCTTTGTAGAGGCACATGCTTTATAATGATCTTAAAGTGGAGGAAAAAAATTAATATTATCTCAATCCTATTAAGATATATAGGATGTACATTAGTCTCATTTGCAAAATAAGATTTATGACAAACTTTATCTCTTTCACAAGAGGCAAATTAGGTACATTTTCAAGAAAATCTATTGTCACTAGTACAAAGTCTAGATGAAGATCACTCGTTAACTTCTAGGAATGGTAAAAACATGTTTCCCTAGAGTTCTTAATTCTTCCAAAGAAGTTTGTACTTTGTTGGTAGTTACAAATTCACATCCTCGTAATTTAGCAAAATTAAAGTCTTACTAACACAATTAATTAAGACATAGTTGGAAGATAATAAATTTATTCTTAAAATGACATTTAAGTCCGTTTAGGGAAAACAATTTAATAATTGAATATAAACAAATGGAGTTAAAATCTTCATCTAAACACACTCTTAGAAAATTCTAATCTATTCACACAAAAGTAGGATATAAACAAATGTAGGATCCTAAATCAAACAACATAGGTAAGGGATTAGCATCCGTGAGAAACTCTCCCAAATGAAGACTACAAACTTGGTGGCTTCAACTCTACTCATCCCAGAGACTCTTCATACAACTATCATTCTTGTGTTTTTCATGTTGTTGACCATTGGTTATTGGTTTGCTTATCCTTCACAAGCTTCATCTATCTACTTGAACTTTTTGCACATGAAACACGTGTACCTTTTAGTGGATACTCGTTAGCATAGTGTGGTGTTTCTACACTTGAAACATTTGATTCTTACTTTTTGTTGTTGTTTCACCCCACTTCCTCCCTTGTAAGTTAGGGTGGAGGATTTTTGTGTTAGGAATTTTAATGATGATAAGATTATAATCTTCCAGTCTTGCATAGGCTGTTATAAAATAAAAAAAGTCTAGTTATCAAACTAGAAACAACGACTGACATAGAGGTTAAATTGATTTTTCAGATTTTGTCACTTAAATTAGGAAAATATAATATTATTATTAGAACAAAATAGCTTGGTGCAAGCCTATCACAACCTTAACAAACATAAACTAAGTCTCTCATGAGATTAGCCTATTGGCTGCCCTTTAAGTATCACACACCCTTTTAGTAACCAGTTAATGATTTTAACTCTCAAGTTCATACCTTACTCAATTTGGTCACTTTATACATGTATGGTTCGACTTGACCTCATACGGTTCCTCATAAATCCTAGAGGAGACACCTTAAAACACCTGCCTATTCAAAAGTCAACTCACTCACCGAAGGATTTTCAATGTTACCCTTTTTAAGCACCACAACTAATATCCATCAATTGGATATGAAAACTTTCAAATATATCTTTTTTATCCTATAATCTTTATATATCTGAATGGAGACATGTATCACAATACCACATGTCTAGGCAACTTAACAACAATTATCGAGACAAATCCAACTAAGACATGTATCACAACATCACATGTCTAAAACTCTTAATCAATTCCAAATCAATTAACAACTTAACACCTCACTACATATTATCCTAGATCAATGCATAATGAATCATGGTCATACATCATCACATAAGTAAGAAAGCATTGCACTTTAAATGATCTTCAAAACTTAACCAAAATCCACCAAGTTTCATCAAACAAGCCACACCCAATGTCATTCCCTATGTTCCTAACGTTATTGAGGTTGAGATCTTTTTGCCTTAAGCACATTTGACGCCAATCCATCTGCACCTAGTGTAAATGAGGCAAAAAGTCTTTGAGTCAATCATGCCTGGCATGGCAAAACCCATGTCCTGCCTCAATTAGGTAGAGAGTCTTTGCCTGACTCATGCCCATTGTTACTCAACTTGCACCTAACGTGATTCAAGTTGAGAACCAGTGACTTGATCATGTCTGATGCCTCTTCACTTGTGCCTAACGTCACCAAGTTAGAGAACACCTTGAGCACTTACACCCAATGTGACCAAGTTAGAGAGTTCCTCACTAATCCACCCCTAATGCTACCAATCTCGTGCCTAGTGTGATCAAGACAAAGAGCCCCTATGTTGAGCCATGCTTAGCACTATGAAGGTGCACCCAAAGCGATGAAGAATTTTGGTCTTGGTAGAATCTTCATTTGGCTTAATCTTACATGAAATCCAAATTAATCTAGCATGCAATCAACCAAATATATATATATATATATATATATATATATATATATTTCAAGAAAATCATTCAAGAGTATTTCTCTATAACATTTCAAACCCTTGATTTTCACAATTTCAATCATGTAATGACGAATCTAGGCAACAACCAAAAAGTAATCATCAAACAACATTCAATTAATTCACAAAATTTCCTTACCTCTAGTCGACCAATTGAGAATAGATAAGGAAGAAGAATGTGGACTCCTCAGGGTTTCGACCTGAGTTTCCTAACTCTAGGAGCTTGAATCTCCAAATCCGTCACCTCATATCAGATGTAGGGAAGGAATAGAAAATATCAGTGGAAACAAGGGAATAAGAAATCTTCTAGCTCTAGAGACCTTTTCTCTAACTTTTCTCTTGTTTTCCTTAAAACATGAAATTATGAGGTTCACACCTTAAGAAAAATCTCATATACCATTTCTTAGGTTAAACCAACTTAACTTTGTCCATGACTATCTTAAAGACAACTTAACTCTCAAGAGCTTTTGATCCTTAAAGCTTTAAAATAACAATAATAACAAATATTCAACAATTTAATCATATATCATATATAATTAAATAAAACACCTAAAACATACAATGGTATAATTCTCCTCGACAACAAGAACTTTTGTCCCCAAAAATCAACTTACTTGAAAAGAGAAATGGATATTGATCTCTTATCTTATCTTTCATCTCCCATGTAGCCTCACTGGTGGCCACATCGCAAATCACCTTGACCAATCTGATGGACTTACCCCTTAATTCCTTCACCTTATGATCCACAACCGCATCTGATTGCTTTCCATAAGTCAAGTTCTCTTTTACTTTCACAACATTAGGCTCCATAACATGATGGGTCATTAATATACTTCCTTAACTAGGAGACATGAAACAAATCATGCTGGTTGTATAGGAATGGTGGAAAAGCCAATTGATATGCCACTAAACCTACACGATGAAGGATATGATAAGGTCCAATAAACTTTGACATTATTTTCTTGCACTTTATCAACCTTCCCACTCTAGTAGTGGGCATCACCTTGAGAAATACATGTTACCCTTCCTCAAACTTAAAAGTCTTTTTTCTCCTATCAACATAAAACTTATGCTTAGTCTAGGAAGTCTTCATCCTTTCCTGAAACATCTTTACCTTTTCTATAGTATGCATAGCTCTGGTCCCACTACAATTGACTCACCCTCCTTATACCAACATAGAGGATTCGTAGTACATCTTAATCATACGGAGCTAGAGACGAAGTTGACTTTTGTGGCCCTCCTTTAGAACCATTGTTTTTAACTCAAAATCTTGTGGTAGAGAAATTCTACCTTTGAACATCAAAGTCCCATCTCCTCCAACCTCAAAGCCCACTACTTTCTCAATGCTTACCAAATCTAGATCTAATAGTTGGTTTTCCTTCAGTAGCTCTAAGAACTCATTAGTAATTGTGGTCATCCCATAACTAATGTAATCTTGAGCCAGTTCTATATAGATATTCAAATATCTAAATCTGCCAATCAATTCCAACTCCTTTACCATCAATGAAGAAATATGGATGGATTTCTTGCTCAGTGCATCCATCACCACATTGGCTTTCCCAAGATGATACATCAATTGGAAGTTATAATCTTTCAAAAATTTCATCCACATCCTTTGTCTCATGTTTAGCTCCTTCTAAGTAAACAAGTACTTCAAGGTCATGAATGGGGTAGTTCTTCTTGTAAAGCTTCAATTGCCTTGAAGCATAAGCCATCGCCTTCCTTTGTTGTATCAACATACACCCAACCTTGGTGACAAGAATCACAAAACATATCAAAGGGTTCATTAAGGTCAGGTAACACCAAAACTAGTGAAGTGGTCAACTTTCTTTTCAACTCCTAAAAACTTTCCTCACATGCGTCAGTCCAAACAAAAGGTTGATCTTTCCTAGTTAGTTGAGTCAGAGACATTACTATTTTGGAGAATCCCTCAATGGATATTCAATAGTAACCCACTAACCTAATAAGGCTCCTAGTTCCAAAAATAGTCAGAACACTTCCATTGCAGCACTATCTCAACCTTGGCTAGATCCACAAAAATCCCTTTAGCAGAGATTACATGACCCATAAACTTTACCTCATCTAACTAGAATTCACACTTGGAGAGTTTGACAAACAACTTCTTATCCCTCAAAATATTCAACACCAATCTCAAATGCTCATTATGCTTCTCTAGAGATCCTAAATAGAAAAGTATGTCATCTATGAACACAACACCAAAATTATACAAAAATGGTCCAAATTTTTTTTTTTTTCATGTACTCCATGAAAAATGTAGGGGTATTGTTCACTCCAAAGACCATTACCACATAATCATAATGACCATACATAGTCCTAAAAGTAGTCTTAGGTATGTCACTATCCTTCACTTTGATTTGGTGGTAACCTAACTTTAATCAACTTTGGATAAATAGAAGCTCCTTTCAATTGATCCATTAAGCTTTCTATCTGAGGTAGTGGGTGTTTGTTCTTAATGGTCAACTTATTCAACTATCGATAGTACACACACAATTTGGCACCACCATCCTTCTTCTTAACCAACAAAAATGGAGCATCTCATGGAGACACACTAGGTCTAATCATCTTTTTCTCCAAGAGCTTCTCCATTTATTTGTTCAACTCACTCCATCGTAGCCATCTTATATGGAACTATTGATACTAACCCTACATTTGGAACTAGATT